GGAAAGAGTGAAGGCAAGAGGAGAAGGGGATGACAGAGGACAAGATGAATGGACAGTGTCATCAAAGTGACCAACCTGAATTTGACCAAACTCTGGGGGGCAGTGGAAGACAGGAGGGCCTGGCGTGCTCTGGTCCGTGGGGTCACAAAGAGTCGGACATGACTTAACGACTGAACAACAACAATCATGTCCCAATGTAGTATTCACCCTTGTTATGCAATAAGCTATGTATTATTCATGAATTATATGCTAATGTGCTGAAGAGTTGGGACTGAAAGAGATGTTAAAAGGTGGAACCTGAGAGAAGAGAGAGTCAGTCAGAGTCTGTGTTAGGAATCAGGGAGAGAAGGATAGCTTGGGTTCTGAGGAGTGATAAGTCTGAGTGCAAATTGTGATAATAACTATAAAAGGTTAATATTGAAGCCTGATGAAACTTGAAGATTGTGCTTATGAATTGTTCCAGAAACCCACTGTAATCAATAAACCTGTTCTATTAAAAAGTCAGTACTGAATGGACCTTCATCTTTTCTAAGCAAAGTACGTTGATAAGGAGATCAACTGGTGGCAGCGTGTCAAGAGTTGTTTTGGTTTGCCTTTGTGAGCTCTGTGTTTAGTGAGACAAACAGGGGCCACGAGGGCGAACGCCACACCCCCTCTTAACCTTCTTTTTGTAAAGTGAAACATTCCCAGTTTCTTAAGCCGCTCCTCATAGGACATGGCTTCCAGAGCTTTGACCATTTTGATTGCCCTCCTCTGGACATGTTCCAGGTTGTCAACATCCTTCTTGAATTGAGGAGCCCAGAACTGGACACAATACTCCAGGTGAGTTCTGACCAAAGCAGAATAGAGTGGTACTATCACTTCCCTTAATATAGACTCTATACTCCTATTACCAAGAATTGCATTGGCTTTCTTGGCAGCCACATCACGCTGCTGACTCATGTTCAGCTTTTGGTCTATCAAGCCTCCTAGATCCTTTCACAGGTACTATTGTCTAACCAGGTGTCTTCCATCCTATACCTGTGCATTTTTTTTCTGCCTAGGTGTAGTGCCTTACATTTCTCCCTGTTGAAATTCATTTTGCTAGTTTTGCCCCAGGACTCTTAATTTGTCAAGATCATTTTAAAACTTAATCTTGTCCTCTGGGGAATTACCAACCCCTCCCAACTGGGAGTTGAGTTAAAAAAATCCAAACAGCACATCCCTAGTCATTGCTCTCAGTAAAAATTAGTATGGTTATACCAGGGAAGGAGCCAGAGAAACCAGAGGCAGAGCATTGAGGATAGTGCTGAAAATTTATCTTCTAGATTTCTGGAAAACAAAATTATGCCCATTCATCCCATTGTGATCAGTTTACTATGTAGTTAGTGCCACTGATTCACCAGACACTATGGGAGCAGTGGTGTTTATCGAGCAACCATATACGCATAATAGGTTCAGGATTGCAAATCCATTTTTCTTGTTTATCGAGCAACCATATACACGTACAGTAATAGGTTCAGGATTGCAAATCCATTTTTCCCATTATAGTGCTTGCAGAGCATCCTTTTTACCTTGGGTTTCATTCCCACCCACAGAAAATTGCCAAGTACAGAGTCCCACTTACAGAGCACACTGGCAGAAATAAATGTTCAAGCTGGAAGCAACAACAAGCCTCACAAAGACATTTATACAGACAACAGCAATAGGAGCACACCACAACGCTCTTTTGAGGAAAGAATTGAATGTCCTTGTCAACCACGTGGAACAGAAGAGAATAATTGATGCTATTAAGAGAATGCCGATTTAGAAGCATATAAATCTCTAATTGTTTTGAAGGAGAGATGGGCTACAGGAACAGTGGAATGGATTCCATCTGGTTTTTTAAATTACCATGAGATTAGCATTAATTATTTCTGATTTACTTTAATTGGCCTTGTATTTTTAAATGGCTGCAAAGCACTTAAGCTCAAAAATCACTTCAGTTAAAGCAGAAACAAGATCAGATATGTATATAAGAAAACATCTTCAGCAGACATCAAAGGTTGTTCTCTTCTCG